TTTTTTAGAAAAAAATCTCTACATTTGTCTTTATGGATGTCAAAATGCTACACCATCATTTGTTTAAAAAAAAAAAAAGATGCACAAGCCAGGCCTGGTGGCACACACCTGTAATCCCAGCAGTCAGGAGGCTGAGGCAGGAGGATCGCTGTGAGATCGAGACCAGCCTGGTCTACAGAGTGAGTTCCAGGTCAGTCTCAACTACATAGTGAGACCCTGTGTCAAATAAATAAATTAATTAATTAAATAATAAATAAGATGCATATTTGTACTATGAATTTATTAAGAAAATACTGTTGTAAATAATCTATATAAAGATAAAATGCACTTCAAAAGTATTGGGTTGGTTTTTGTTTGTTTTACAATATTCTGTGAAGTGCAAGAAATCCTAAGTAAAGGGGAAAAACTACTCCCTATAACAAGTTTAATTACAGCAGCTTTTGCATAGCAATACTTAGAGGAAGTCAGACACTTGCATTTCCCCAGGAAGAGAAGGATGGAAGAGAATCTCCCAATTCAGATTTCGTTTTGGCCATCAGTCTGCTTTCTTCAGGAATGGCTGCTGCTGTCGAATCTCCAGTGAGTGTGTTTCCTGAACAGTGAACGGGTCTGTCTGGGCCTTGGAGGGGAGGAGTAACATTACAAGAGTCTGTATCGGAGTAGTTTCTTTGGCGCCGCTGGGAGAGTCGGTGACGAGCAGGCACTGGATCTTTTATGGAGTAGGTGCTGCTTTCCGAACTGCAGGAACCAGGGTGGCTGACTGGACAGTTCATCATTTGAACTGGAGAAAGGTGACGCAGGAGAAACCAAAGGACCCGGATGGGGCAGCTGAATTCAGTATCTTCACACATTCTTCAAGCGCCGCGATGAAGGTATCGCATGTGGCACATTCGTGTTCTCTACCCTGGGAGATGAATGGCTCCCATCCTGGGGAACAGATTCCTGGGTCGTATGAACCTGCTGCATTGGGAGGCCACAGCAGAGGCGAAGTTCAGAATTCTGGTTTCCGAAGATTCACTGGTTTCACTTATTTCTTTTTCTTCTTTTAGTCCAAGTATCACTCAAACATGCTTTGGGGCTCCCCAGAGCAACCAGCCACCTCTGTCTTTCAGCTGCTTTTACTGCCTTCATGTAAAAATAAATGCTGCTCTCCTGGAATGATTAGTTCCATTCCTGTGTTGTCTGCTGAATGAGCTTTAATTTCTGCCATCTTTATAGTTCCTTTGTTCCCTTCTCAAACATCATCCTGTGAATCACAGTAGGACAGGGTTCCACTATCTAAAACAAACCAGCGAGGCTGCCGACCTGTGAGATAGTTAGTCCGCTTGTACAGAACTCCCTCCTTGCTTCAGAGCCTGGGGCTGCACATCCTCCTGTCCCCGCCCAGCACGTGGCAGCCCCCAGAGGCTCAGGCTCCGCTGTGCTGCGAGTCCACGGATGTCCTCCTGTGGCCCTGTGCTCCCTCCTCCCGGGCTCCTGCCTTCCTCCCCCAACTGTCAGGATTTTTGGTGAACTAAAACTTTTCCTTCCTAGAAAAAAATAAGATGTTTCTTTTATGTTCATTTTTAGAAAGGCTGAGTGGCTTAAACAATCATAGAGTGATTTCCTGAAGTAATGCTAGTAGCTAGTAAATATCCACTATGACTCACTGATTCTTGATTCATTTCCTCAAAGGAACTACAAAATTGAATAAAACAAAAACACTCTAGGAGAAAAAAGAAGGAAAAGTATCTACAAAAAAATGCCCCAAATCACTCTTAAAGTACTCAAAACAATCAACCAGCCAAGAAACATAAGCCTATCACAAACCCTTTTGCTTAAACTCCTGCGGAAACACCTCCACCCTGAAATTGTCAATGAGTTCTATTCTGTTGGACCGGATGAATGAATCCTTTGAAAAGTGAAAACATGTGTTTATAAAAAATGAGAGCGGAATCATCACATTAATGCACATTTACTACAGGCCGCTCTTCAGCTGGGTGCTCATGTTGCCATCTGGAGTATTATTATCTGGCCTTGTCTACCAAAGGATTTACAGAGGATACAGGCTCAGTGAGATTAAGCAACTTGCCCAACAGCACACAGCTATCAGTGGATAGAAAGAATTCAAGACCCACATCCATTCCTGCTATACCAAGTTATACTATGGAGATGTATCGTGGAGATGTCTGACCTGGGTCGACAAACTGGCTCCCAAACCGTCTGCATGATAGACCTCGGGTGGTAAAGCAGTATTTATCAACATGAAAACAGGCCCTGGATGCCACTGCATCTTTCATGACTATTGGAAGTGTTTTCCCATGTTTTGAATTGTTGTGTACTAAATCACCAAAGCACTAACAATTTGTGCATAGACTTCTAAGGAACACTCAGGTGTGGCTTCTCCTAAACCTGAAACTCCTCCCATTTGGGGGGCTCTGCCCTTAAGACTTAATCTCAGCTCCAGAACTGTGAGAAAACAAACATATTATTTAACTATGAATATGTAGAGCCATGCATCAAGCCAGTAGGGTCACAGATTGAATACTTACCTGTAGCCCACAAATTCATGTGTTGGGGCCCCAACTCCCAATGTGATGGTTTTAGGAGGGGACTCTTTCAGGGGGTGATTCAGTTAAGGTTAAGTATTCAGGTTTTATCCTACTTGGAATTTATTGAGCTTCTTGAATTTATAGATCTGTGCCTTTTCTTCAAAATTTGAAAGTTTTTAGATAGCTCTTCAAATGATCTTTCATCTCTTTTTCCTCTCTTCTCCTTGAAGACTTCCACAATGTGTATATGGGTGCCACCAGCCCCTCTTTGCTTCTTTTTTCCTTTCTAATCTTCACCTTTTTAAATTTCAAATGTCCTATCTTCAAGTTCACTGATTTTTTTCTCGTGCATGATCAAATCTGCTGCTGAACCCTTCTAGTGAATTTTCAATTTACTTATTGTATTTTTCTAGTCCAGAATTTCTCATTGGTTTTTTAAAAATAAATTCTACCCTTTGATCATCTCATTCTGTTCATACATTACCTTCTGAATTATTTTAGTTCTTTGCTTGTGTTTTCCTTTAGCTCTTTGAGCATAGTGAATCCAGTTTTAAGGCTTATCTAGTACATCCAAACCCTATGTCTTTTCAGGGAATTTTATAGTGTGGTAGCCTTTATGAACTGTCTTCTTTCACTTACCAATATGCATTTATGCTTCTTCCACACCTTTTCATGGCTCAGTAGCTCATTTCTTTCCATCACTAAGCAAATACTCCATAGCTTTTATTTATTTACTTATTTGGTGTGGGATGTCAAACTCAGGACCTTGTACTTGCAAGGCAGGAGGTGGCGCCACTGAGCTAAATCCCTGGACCTCCATAGCTTTTATTTTAAAAATAAATTTACCTTTTAGTCCTCATCCATTTATCCATTTATAAGAACATCTTTGTTCTTTCCCATATCTGCCAACTATGCATAATGGTACTATCAGTAGTCACATGCACTTTTTTTGTAGACATAGATTTTCAATTCATTGAGTAAAAACCCAGGAGCACAACTACTAGATTGTGTAGTAAGAGCATACTTAGCTTTATCAGAAGTTGATGAAATGTCTTCCCAAAAGGTCATTTTTGCATTTCCATCAGTCATGAATAAGAATTCGTTTTTCTAAGTCCTCATCGACATTTGATGTTAGCAGTGTCTTAGATTTAAATCATTGTGATAGGTGTATGTTGTGGGATCACTTTGTTGTTTCAACTGGCAATTCCTCGATTACATGTGATTTGGGCACATATTTGCATATGCTAATTTTCTACCTTTATATATTCTTTGATTCAGATTCTTCATTTTTAAATTGGGTTGCTCATTTTCTAATTGTTGGATTTTAAGTCCTTTTGTATACTTTGGATGTCAGGCCCTGCATTTTTATTAGCAATGCACCGGCACATATACGTGTAGACATTGTCAACTCTCAAAACATATTTATAAAATTACTCCATGCAAGGGTTAATAAACATGGTCTGCTATGGTTGTGTCTCTTCCTTTAGGGTTGAATTTCTGTCTTTTCAGCGCTTTTGTTTTGTTTTAAGACAGAATCTCACTGGATAGTTCAGGCTGGCTTTGAGCCCACTCAGTACTAGCCTAGACTGGCATCGAACACACGGTGATCCTCTTGCCTCAGCCTCCTAAGAGCTGGGATTAGAGGTATGTGCCACCACACCTGGCTTTTACAGTATGTATTTGTTTTGTTTTGTTTTGGTCTGATTTGGCTTTTGTGAGACAGGGTCTTATTGTGTAGTTTAAACTCACTGTGTAGCCCAAACTGGCCTCAGACTCACAGCAAACCTCCTGCCTCAGCCTTCTGAGTGCTGGGATTACAGTCTTGTGCCACCACACCTGGCACAGTACACAGTTCTTAATGCTAATTTACAGTAGAATTTCTTTGAGAGGATTTTAAAATATTTGTTGAGGCTACAGGAAAGACTGGCACACCAGTAGAAAACAGGCTATTTCAGCATATGTGATGATTATAAAATGAAAGCCTAATATGAATTTTAGAATTAAAAATTCCACTATCTGAAATGAAAATTTCACTTGGATGTTCTTTTTTTTAAAATATACTAAAATTTCATCATCCACAAAAGCTTTAATTTAATCTGACAGTAAAACACAAGAAGCAATATTATAGTTGGTTTAGTATATTATATATTTTAGCTTTGAAAGCCATAGAAATCAGTTATCCCAGTTTTTTTCTCTAAAAGACCCATTTTTCCAAAGCATTATGCACAATTTTAATTAGAATATGACAGATGATATTTCATAATTTTTAAAACATAAAATGAAGTCAATGACTCAAAAAAAGTTATCTGCTGCAATGACTTGAGGAGAAATTCATAACTGATATCATTATAGATATAAAGTATAACAGTTCAACATTTTAGTGCTTAAAGGGAGGAATCATGACTAAATGGTCAATGTGAAATCACTGGATTATAGTAGTACTATCTAACATTTGAAATGCATCCATGCTCTTTTGTATAATTGAATTAGAGTCAATTATACTTATTCTCACATCTGTTATAACTGCTATTGCAAAGAGAAATGCTATTGTCTTACTTCCCAAGATATATACACAGAGCGATTTTTTTCCTCCAGGGAACTTGTGCAAACCAATGTAATATCCAAATTCTTCACATAATACATACAACAGGAGAAGGTTCTTTGTATTTGTTTTTTGAAGTCTGGAATGCTGGTGCTTCCCAATTAGGCAACAGTTCTTCGTTCCTGCAACCTGGCTCAGAGCTGCTGCTGACTTCGGGTCTAGAGCAGCAGACATGATTTCTTTCTAGGCTTCTTCTTTCCCACTGGTAGTTTTCTATTTATTTGTCTGAAATATTTATTTGTCATAAAATATCTCATTAACATCGCAGAAGATTCTAAAAAGCCACAGGTGACACCATTGTCTTGCTAAATTCTGGCCTTTTTCTTTGCCAACTACTCACTCATCTTCCAGGTGACACTTACTGCCAACCAAAATCATTGGGACATCTGCGTCCTTACCCTATAAAATCTGTTCCCTTAAGTCCTATAAATCATTAAACGTAGACTGCGCTGTAATGGAATATACTAGTGCAAACCCTTGGGCAGTCTTCATATACTAATCCCTCATCGCTGTAAAGTGTTCTGCCCCTGCTGTATCCAGAATTTCCAGCATACACTGTTGGCCATCTACTTCAACTTGTTCTCTGTAGGAATTTTCCATCATCGGGTTGTATTTTTCACCAAAAATTCCGTGAACACACTGACCTGTCAGAGCAGACTTTCCCACGCCTCCTGAACCAAGGGCTACTAGCTGGTCCTCACTCGTGATGTGATCTGTTTAGATACCGGCGCTCTGCTTCAGGAACATGCGTTTGCCACAGAAGTAAGGAAGCAGCTTACTCTGGAAGCGTGACAATATTTGTGACTGACTCAGGGTCACTGAAGGTGCAGGGAGACATACACTCTTCTACGGGGTAACCAGTTATCCCACCCTTGGGAATCTATTCCCTCT